GTCTCGTACTACGCCCGTGTTGCTTTAGCAGCTGGACGCCCGAGGAGTGAGACAAGATGATCGTATCCAATGCTTGGGCCATGGACTCCCCCTCTTCTTCTTCCCCCGCCGCGATAGGAGTCATCGGGTTTACATTATCGTTGAACACTAAATTTTGAGTCCCATCAATATTACGGTTTTCGATAAACTTTGATCGGTTTTCGATAAATTTTGACTGAATTTCTACCGAATTTACTGTTTAACCTTCAAAATTCTAACAAAACTTAATTCCGAGCCGCGTCGAAACATCGAAATTTCACGAAATTCGACCGGTTTTCGTCGGAATTGTAAACCTGGTCGCCCCTACCCATCACGCGGGCCTCGCAACATGAGCACATGGCAACATTCGCATCAGCACATGCGTGGCTCGGCTACTCCCGAGAGCACAGGACGTCTGGAGACTGGATTGCAGCCAGCCAGCCAGGGACTCCATGGTAGAAGTAGTAACGATGCAGTTTGGAGATAACTTGAAATGGGTTGGAACTTGGGAAGAAACCACAACTTTTGATGCACGACTCAATCTTCACAAGTGAGGCTGCAACCACCGGATCGCTAGGTTTGTTCTTAATCATTGCAACAGAAAGGAAATCGGTGATTAGCCAACTTCTAGGACACCAACACTGCCGGCAACAATGGTGCCCAGCAGGTGCTGCAAATTCTGCTTTTACTACCATATGCACAGACGCTAAATTCGGCCTGGGATCCTGGACTAGTGGACCGCGACTTCACAAATCATAACTACAGATCATCCACTGAAGCTAGCATGGGCCAGCAGATGCCATTCCCTCGAGGGAATGCAATAAAGCCACTCACTTTACTATGCAACGAGACATTTCAGCATTTTCTGCAACAGAGCAAACTCTAGCAAGCAGGCCACTTGGAGCTTATAGGAGTACTATACTCCGTAACAAGATAGAAAGGAGTACTACTACTATTGGTCCAAACTCAAAAGGATTAGTAGACTCAAGTTCGCTTAAAATACTAGTCCATCCGTTCCATTTTAAATGCAACTATGATTTTCTGTGCATAACTTTGACCGTTCGTCTTATTTAGAATTATTTTAAAAAGATTTAAAAACATAAGCCATGTATAAAGTACTATTCATATTTTATTATCTCATAACAATAAAAATACTAATTATTAAAAAATTTAAATAAGACGGACGATCAAAGTTGGACACAAAAACTTATAGCTTCTCTTAAAATGAGACGGGGAGAATAGATATAAAGTAGACAGGCACGAGCACACTGAGAGCTTGTTCACTTTGCTATAATTTTCAACCTTATCAAGTTCTGGCATTGCCAAATTTTGGTAAGGTTGTCAAAATTTTGGTAAGATTTCATATGTACTTACTAAAATTTAGTAACAAACTAAATGTAGCCACTTTTTGGTAACTTTGCCAAAAAAAAAGATAAGATTGAAAATAGTAGCAAAATGAATAAGCCCTGAGTGCCAGATGATGCCCATCACTCATTTGGACAACATTTAGATATATGATGATGCTATACGATTGTACTGTTGAGTAAATTTCTATATGTTCATGAATACTAGCAATTCAAGAGATGAGATAGTACTGAAATGACAGCTATCAGCTATGAAGATGAACTAGTACTACCTCCTTACCAAAATATAACAACTTTTAACTATAAATCTAGATACACAGTTATACAGATTCATACCTAAAAATGCTTATATTTTTGGACGAAGGGAGTATAAGCATAATGCTATCTACTGTACAACACTAAACGGAAGAATCAAATGATTAATCCCTATTCAATCAACTCCAATTGGCATAAACCAATTGCCGTTTGTATGAACTTTCTACAACTCATGACTCGTGAGATCAATACAAGCTGGAGCAACATCCAGAGCAATGCAATTATGCAAATACAGGAGAGCTCAGCTTGACTCGGTTCTCATATCAAAATGGTACATGGAAGACTGGAATCCTGAACCAAAAAAAGAAGTACACCAGGTTAGCTCATGGCAAGGAAGACTGAAGAGCTAGACACTGTCTAGATGGGACTAAAAAGTCCCTATCACATCGGATGTTTGAACACTAATTATAAATATTAAACGTAGATTATTAATAAAACCCATCCATAATCTTGAACTAATTCGCGAGACGAATCTATTGAGTCTAATTAATCCATGATTAGCCGATGCTACAGTAAACATTCTCTAATTATAGATTAATTAGGCTTAAAAAATTTGTCTCGCAAATTAGCTTTCATTTATGTAATTAGTTTTGTAAGTAGTATATATTTAATACTCTAAATTAGTATATAAATATAGAGACTAAAGTTAAGTCACTAGATCCAAACACCAAACTACCGACAAGTGTTTCAAAACATATAACGCAGAAACGTCAACCTTCATATTGAAAGCCCAAGAGAAAAAAATAAAGGGATTATCCTTCAAGAGTCAAGGCTGAGCTATATTCAGTTCTCGGTAGCTTAAATTGTTCGGTGATAGGCACATGAAAAAGGATAATTCAACTTATCGACCTAGCGCCTGACAGGGAATGGAACTCATTGCCAATTTTAGCTATCGATACAATCTTCTTTCACCCAAAGCATTTCCTTTATATTGTCAGGTGAAGGTGATTTCATGCCATGTCATGATTCAAATTGCAGACCACGTGCCTATTTTGTTATACTAGTAAAATATTGTAACATCGCATATCATAATTGTGGTGTAATCCTACGATAAACCTAAGCCTCCTGTAATTGTGTGGCACGGTGCTTTTGCTCCGATAATGAACATGTTAATACAACAATTACATCGCAGATTGTAATAATATAATAAAATAATTACCTTAAGACATATAACCAGTCCAAGGGATATTGATGCGCAAAGAAAGATAAACAATGAGATGAAGCCCCTGAAGAGAATAGCAATTACAACAACAATTGTTGTTCCCTTCTTCTTCCTCCCTCTGCCTTATATCTCTCTCTTTCTTTCCCCTTCCTCTTCTCCTTTGGTCGTTCGCGAAGAGTGGGGGGCTGGAACGGCAGCGGCAGGCTGCATTCTCTGGTCGTCTTCTTCCTCTGTCGTTGTCTCCGCCACGCCGCTTGGCGGTGCCAATCCTTCGCTCCTTCCATCGGTTCCCCTCCCTGTTGAAGCGGTACAGCTTCGACTTCCTACGAAAATCCAAAATAGTCGTTGGATCGAAGAATGAGGACATCAGATCGAGGCCGAATCGAGACAGGGGGAGATAGCTCACATGTCGAGGACGACTTCCTCATCATCCTCGCTAGTGGTGATAATGACCTTCTTGAGCTTGATGATAGTGCGACTTAAGCGTAGGTGTCCTCGTCCTCACCTACCACCGTGGCCTCATCCTCCTCACGGTGCTCCGCTGGGTTAGCCGTGGCAATGCGGGTGGTGCTGGTGGTAGTAGGTATTGGGTCGCGGTTGCCTCTGGTTGATGTGTGTAGTGGTGCCCGCCGCAGTGGGGGAGGAAAGAGAGAGTATACCTGAGGTAAGCCTGCCACAACCGTCGTTCTAGCTCCCGCCCCCTATAGACGGCCGAAGGGGAGAGAAAGGGAGGAGGAAGGAGAGAGATGATATGTGGACCCCACAATTTTCTTCTGTGCGAATGACAAATGGGTCCTACATAATATTTTTAATTCTAACGCCACCTAAGCACCACGTTAACGCCACAGACCAGGTCAACGCTACCACGTAGTCTCCACATCAGCAAAAACGCCCCTCCAAAACTGACGAGGGAGTGAAATTGCACTAGTTTTAATAGTTAGAAGATCGATATATCCAGTATTACTATTTGAGGATATTTATCGGATTATGTCACTAGTTAGTTAAGGGAGTTAAAGTGGACTTACTTTCCCATATAAACGGGACGAATGGTATCTGGGCCTGTCGCCCATGGCTCACCAAGCACGCACTAAACTTGGCCTCGACGGGCAGAGTCGCCACGGGCTACAGCTCACGCCGCTTTGAGCGTGGCCCCGCAAAGGCGGCGACATCGCATTCGCGACGGCGACGTACTGCCTGCCGGCTGCGCCCTGCTTCTCGCGGCGTGGCCCCGCCACCTTTCGGCTGACGAGCACATCGAACAAACTACTTCCTACGTTTCACAGTGTATTAACAACTATATGAATATGAAAAATGCTAAAATGATTTACATTGTGAAATGGATAAAGTACTATTATACGAAGTACTAGTATTAATTGCGATCGAGCGATTTCCTGCGGTATATGCCTGTCAGCCCGTGTGAATTTCGCCGATGACTATCCCATGCTCGGCGTGGAGCAGGAACGGTACAGGTTCCAGATAGGACGGACAGGCCTGATCGACGGCTGGGCCAGGCCAGCCGAGACGACGACGACAACAACGACAACGGACTTAATCGCGGGACGGGGCCGAACACACGACCCATCTTCGCTACGGGCAGCTCTCGCACAGTCGACAGCTAATGCTGCATGATACCTGCATGCTATGCTACCTCCCGAGTCCCGAGCAATCACGAGACTCACGAGGAATAGCGGGGTCTCTGTCTGGGGCAGATCTCGCGGTTTCCCCCCAAGCAGAATCCCGTCAGGCTTTCCTTGTTTGGGCATTTGGCCTATGCGTAAATTCCGTAGCCTTCCGCCCAAGACATCCTGTTCTCCCTGTCGCGTCGCTCACGGAACTACTCACCGTACGTTTTTGACGCCCATGGTTTCCCTCAGCCTATACTACCATCGATCTCCTCCTTCCTTCCCGTGATCCCGTCCTCTGTTCATCTCCTTCTCAGATCACAAAGATGCTGACGCCTGATCGAAGCACTCTGATGACCCTGCCACTAACCTAGCTATAGCTTGTCGTATTTTGCCTCGCAATGCAAATTATTACAACTTCCCCTCAACCCCTATTGCATTACAGGAAGAAAAACGTCTCTATAATTTCTCCCTAGATTGCAAGACGACGATGCTAGGTACTCCCTTCGAGAAGCTAGCTAGGCTGAACCGTGATCTCGGAGATAAGATTGACGATGGATACAGTTCGGGAGCTACATATAGCGCCATTATAGCGATGATCAGATCAGATGGCTGCTTCCTTGCCAACCCCTGTACACGCATGCACCACCATATATAGCCAGCAGCTAGCTAGCCTGATCGATCAACCTCCCACTCTTATTTTCTAAGTAGTACAATAAAATCTAATTAGAAACTAATAAAGGGATGGATGCTAGCTTAATTATCACAATTAACTGGCTAGCTGCATGCATCTAATCGATCTCCTGGTTAATTAATCAGGAGCTGCTCACGCCTCCCTTTTCTGATCTCAACTGCTTGTACTTGTCGAAGAACTCCTTGTTCTCCTTCTCCAGCTCCTTCCATACTGCATTAGTTTACACAGACAAGCCGATCCAAAGCAAGTTAGCACACGACCAGAGAATTCAAGATTTCAGACGAAAACCGAATTGAATCAAATTAACTAGGCAATTAGCTAGACGACCTGTGGAGGTGACGACGGGCTGCACGTCGGCACGCTTCGACAGCGTCTCCATGCACTCCTCCATGCTCATCCCGAACGTCATGCATTTCTCTATCAGGTGCTGCACCTGTAAACATACCACACGGAGATTTAATTAGGACAAACACCATTCGCACTTAGCTAGCCGAAATTTCGCAAAACGATCGATAGTACCAACGATTTATATGCTATCCTTGGCGGCCTCTCAAGAAAATTCGGGATTCTGGTAGTGAACTGATTTGTACAAGCAGTGCAATGAAGTACATATAAAAGTTTTGGTCGATCGATCTCGTTAGTTCTGCGTCGTTGTCAGTATATAGAAGTTAGAGAAAGATCCCGCAAAACCTACGCTGGGTAACACGAGATTTGCCGGTGTTAAAATGAGTAAACTGCAGTCGATGATTACTCAGAATGGAATTGCTAGTTAGCCTAATAACAGATGAGCCATGAGTATTTCAGAATTCAGAGGTCAAAGACAGATAGAGAGATGGGAAGATGATCAACTGCGTGTGCAGAGAAGATTACCATGTGGATGTAAGAGGCAGGGGAGTCATCTCCCAGAGCCATTTTTCTCTCGGTCTCTCCCAATTAAACGACTAGTGCTTGAATTGACCTCCTCCTCCTCTTCCTTCCTCCCTCCCTCCCACGAGCCCTTTTTTTATTATTCTCTTCTTCTGTTCTTCCTTTGGAAGTCTATGCCTCCGCTGCAATCTCCTTCTGCGTGTTGTGTTGTGTGTGGCGATAAGGCGTGCAGAGTCGACAGGGAAGCGCCCTATATATACATGCAGCATGGATGAGGACACCGCCCCGCCCCGCCCGCTCGCTGCACCGCGCCCATGCACCGCTCACGGCAACCGCAACGCCGCCACGGCTTCACCCGTGAGGCGGCGGCGCATGGACGCGGTGTGCGGAGGCGGAGAGGAAAAGCGATGAGAGGGGTTCACGTGGGCGCGGGCGTGCGATTGGAGGGGAGGAGATTGGCGGGGGGACGGGAAGGCTGATGCGGCCATGCGGGGGGAAGGAAGAAAAGACGAGAGGGGCAAGCGAGATCGGAAAGCGATGTGGACGTGGCAAATATCTCCGCGAGAGAGAGGGGATGTGGGCCCGGGAGTAGGAAGCGGCCAGGTGGACATGTACCTCGCGCCTTCACGTGCCACATGGCCCCGCAGGGCCGCGTCGCGACGGCGAACATCGATCGGGGTATTCCCCGGTTTTTCCCTATCTTTCTCTGTCTTACCCTTGATGAACTGCTCCATCTGTCCCCCTTCAATTCGATTCTGATAAGGGCATCCACTATGTATTTCTAAAAGTGGTTTATAGGTAATATAATATTTGATTCAGCAACCTAGCAACATTATAAAAGTAGTTCATAGGAAAGAAATAACAAAAGGTACCCATAAACATATGGGCTGTCCATAGAGAATAAAATATATTATTTGTCTTATATCTATTCTCTCTTACTAATACTATTTGCTATCCATATGCATTGTGAATGTTACAATAGTTAAAGTTCATATATGTGGGTCCTATCTCTATGGACTATTTTTGTCATATACATTGTTGTTGCCCTTAGATGATTGAACTTTTCTGTTCGAAACCTTAGTCCAAAAACTATACTGTTCCTTTATTTTTTCTAAATTCTTGCGTGCGCGTACTCTTCTAGGCCAACGTGAACTTTCTCGTCCATGGTAGAGTTAACCTGGTCATTAAATCACGATCCATCTTCCCTGAAGGAGATTAAGACGTCATGGACGAAAGTAGGTATAGTCAGACCGACAGGTGGTAAATAAAGCGCTAGCTCGATCGAGGCGACAACCAGCGTGCTGAGTGTAGTGTCACGTTTGGTCGGGTTGGATGCGCGGTCATTTTTGGTGGAACACGCGCCGCGTGCACCGCCTGCTCGTGCACACCGCTACTGCAATTATGTTCTTCCCCTTGTCGTGCGCACGCGAACGTACTACCCGGTGCACAGGCAGAGCCGATGCCCAGAGGCTTGGACCTGATGAGTCTGTGAGCGCGCCTCGATCGGTACGTGGCAGCACAATTGAGCCGCACATAGAGGATCACCGGTGCAAAAGCATATGGGGCCCCGAGGCCCAGGCGCAGTGGCCAGTGGGCGATAGCGAGAACCGGATAGAGAGAGCTTGTGTGGCGAGCGGACCGTGTCGTAGCACTGACGTGGCGGGGGTACCTGTCGTGCATGCGCGGATGCGCATCTGTCGTGGCGGACGGTCTCGACTCGACGTCTTCCCAGCGCGAGGGCGCCTGCCGAATCTGGATATGGGTTCGTGGTCCTGCTGCCTGCATGCACGGGCTGCACCCCTATTTGTTTCGTCCGTCTGGTCGCAGAGACAGAGATGCGTGCGCCAACGTGTGACAGCGTCCTCTCTCGATCGTGCGTACGCACGCGACAGCACTATCTCCATCGTTCTCGTACTTGGTGGATAAGGCTATTTACGGTTCGTCCTGCCCTTTTAAGGAGCATATGTGCGCCACGTAGACTAAGGCCCTTCACAGTACAAAGACATGGCAAGTTCCTTCGTGCCGCCAGCTAGGATATTCACCTACGTGTCAACAAAATACGTGTCCTTGCTCTGAGCTTCTCGTTCCCAAACAGGGAGACGCATTCTTCGTCTCATGATTTAACTGCGCAGGTAAAAAAAAAACACAGAGACGCGTGCGCTGTGAGGCTCGTTGCCATCCCCTCGCGCCACATTGAAGACGTGATTCTCTGGTGCTTGCGTTGTGGAGCTCGTAGCTCTGACACTGGCTGCACAGCTTCAGACGAGCAGAGACACGGCATAGCGTGTCTTACATTGTAAAGGGCCTAAGGACACGGGCCTAAAATCTAAGTTCTCCATAGTACGAGTGGTTCTAGGAGTTACTTTAATTTTATATTTCGGCTCCTGATACCTTTTATTTTAGTTCATATTATTTATCATTTTGTATAGAGGTCTAAAATTTACACATAACACTCTAGAATCCAGAAAAAACTAAATTTACTCCTTTTCCATCCCTTATCCGCCTCTCCCTCACTCCGTTGGCTCTTCCGCTTTCGTAGCCGGCGACGACGGCTCTCACTCCTCCTTCCACCGCTGGCGACCCCGGTTCCCCTCTTCTCCTCCCCCAACCGGCGGCACTCTTGCTCCTTTCCCGACCGGCACTGCGACCACAACTCCTCCCCCCGATCTCTGGATCTAGCGGCTAGCCGGCAGCTACCCGGAGGCGGGCCTCGGCGGCAAAGCAGCACGGGAGCCGACGACGGATGACCCCGAGGTGGCTCGGTGGAGGACACCGGCGGCGGACGACCAGGAGGCGGGCCTCGGCAGCGACGCCGCATGGGAGCCGGCGGTGGACGACTCCGAGGCGGGCTCGGCAAAGGGTGCTGGCGGCGGATGACCCGGAGGTGGGCCTCGGCGGCGACGCCGCGCGGGAGCCGGTGGTGGATGACCCCGAGGCAGGCTCGGCGGAGGGCGCTGGTGGCGGAGGAGCGCGGCGGCAGAGGTCTGTGGCTGCCATCGACGTGCTCGATCAACTGCGACGGCGTCGGCGGCCACCCCGCGCTTGCCCTCGTCAATGGCGTTGCAGGAGCAACAAGTGCCTCTCCTCCCTTCTCTCTCCTTCGCCACAGTGCGGCGCCATCCCTCTTCCCTGGCACCGCACGACCTCGATATTGTTGAAGAACGTGTGACCAGTTTGTGCTCCGTGTTCTTCACGAGACCACGCGCGAGGAGGATGTGGCGGCGAATCTTTGACGTGGATATCCCAGGCTAAATGCATTGTGAATGGCCTAAAGCAACTCTTAACCTGTACGCACGGATCGTTATCGCTGTATGCGCGCCACCGCGCTAGTAACGTCATCAGAGAGAAGTGGTACAGGTAATCCATTCAGCGCCTGTTTCGGCTGTTTCATCACACGCATCCAACAAGATAATCCTAGATCCGTGTGCAGATACTTATTACTAGCATTGAGGCACTATTCATCAGTTCATCTTAAATTGCATTTTGATCACTCGTCCTTTTTTTTTAAAGATCACAAACGCTTGAAAAAACATATTATGAAAGTTTATTGCATGTAAAATATAACCATGAAACTTTCGTCCATTGTGGCCTAGTAACTTTTTTCTAAATTACCCGTGGATAAAATTAGAACAACGACAAATAAAATTACCAAGTAATAAACAAGTAAAGAAACCAAACACACGAATGATGATGCTCGCTTAATTCATTCGTTCCCGTCTCACCATCCAACCGATACAGTGCAATGCCAACGGGCAACCCTTGCCAGGTAACCAGGTGATCAGGTCCACGCGCAGCTAGCTATAGCTAGCCCCTAAATCCTGGAAAGCAAGAAACCTTCCGACACCGACGGATCACGCGAAATGTCTTCCTGTGGAGATAGAGCACGCGTGACAGCTCGAAGCGAAGAAGTGACGTGACGTTCTGCTCGAAAACTCTATTGGTGTGTTTAGTTCACGTTAAAATTAAAAATTTAGTTAAAATTGAAACGATGTAATGAAAAAGTTAAAAGTTTATATGTGTAGAAATATTTTGATGTGATAGAAAAGTTTAAAGTTGGAAGAAAACGTTTGAAACTAAACTCAAAGTCTGTATGAACCGGGCAAGCCGGCCTATGCTGATTTTACCTTTTGTTTCGGGGTGAGTGGAGGAGGCGCACCGATTTGCCAACGGATGGTACGAGGGAGTACGGGATTTTCCACAAGAGAGGGGACAGACGGGAAAAAACGCGCGACGGTGGGCTCACGTACATGGCCCTCTCACGCCGGGGACCTCCAAATTAGTCCAGTGACCATTGAGCCCACGTTTCTAATGAGATGGGCCACAGGCCGCGCCGGGCTGCCGAAATGAGAATTCGCGTTTAGAGCTGGATCTGATCAACGTGGTTAAGGTCGGCCCGTTATTCGGTCTTAAGCTCGCCGTCTTTAAAACGAGCCCTACCCCCTAAAAAAAGGTGAGGGAGTCCAAATACACCTCTAAATTTTAAAGAGAAGTTCGTCTAGCACCTTAATTTTAAAACTAAACATTTAACCTTCTAAATTTTACAATACCGTTCATATAACCCATAAGGCTTAAGGTGGTTTTGTATAGTAGTTTTGATCTAGTTTGTATATAAGTTGGATAAATTTGATCACGTGACATACACATTGGGCATTCTCCCTCTATCTCATTTTAAGTGCAGATATGGTTTTCCGTGTCCAATATTTGACCATCCGTCTTATTTGAAAAAAAAATCATGCATAGAGTACTATTTATTTTTATCATCTAATATAACAAAAATACTACTTACACAAAATTTTTAAATAAGACGTACGGTCAAATGTTGAACGTATAAACCCACAACTGCACTTAAAATGTGACGGGTGGAGTATATATATATATATATATATATATATATATTAAAATCTCCACTTAAATCTTTCTTTTTACCACTTGTTAGTTCTCAGTTACAAACAAGTACCAACATAATAATAATATGATATCATTGTATAAGTATAAATTAATGAAACAATAGATGATATGCAAATATGTTATATAGTTATTCAATGTTGTTCATTTAGGTTTTCAAAAGAGTAAAGTGTACGGGCGGTTCTTAAACTTGTAGGGGTGTGTTATCTGGGTCCATAAACTCTCAAAATGCATATCCAAATCCCATAATTTGTCATAGTGTGTCATCTAGGTCTCAAATCACCATAACCCCTTTAGGATCCTACGTGGCGTTGATGTGGCGATGCCTCACGGATATGACATGGCATCATTTTGGACCGACAAATGGGACCCATTTAAAATTTTTCTTTTTTTTTCTTCTCTTTTTTTTCCCTTTCTTCTCATTTCTCTATGACCTGAGCAGAAGAAAGGAAAAAAAAAGAAGAATGAGAAGAAAACGAAAAAGGGAAAAAGAAAAGAAGAAAAAAAAGAAAAGGACGCGTCACGCCCATGTGGTATGCCACATCAACGCCACATAGATCATAGACGGGATGTGTCGATTTGGGACCTAGATGATACACTTTGACAAGTTTTGGGACCTGGATATGCATTTTCAGAGTTTATGGACCTATATGACACAACACTACAAGTTTAAGGACCGCCAATACACTTTACTTTTTTCAAAATATGCAAAACCATAATTCAAAACCACATTAAGGGGTAATATGGACGGTATTGCAAAGTTGAGGGAGTTGGACGCCCATTTTTTAAAGTGCAGGGTGCTAGAGGTATTTGGACTTTTTCCAAGAGAGAGACAACAACAATAGCACATAGAGTATAATAGAAAAACACATGATTTTCACCAAGTTATCGAATCACCCACTTAGGCTCATTGTTGAATCCTATTTAGCATGCATACGCAATACATAAGACGATAAACACACGGAAAAAAACATAGCAATGACCATTTGGACGAGCCACATGAAAACTATATGAATGGATGAGAGAAATAGATTCGAATAAATTTTTTTGTGAGGTTGATACATTGCTAACTTTTCTCCAAAATTTACATGCATTGAGCATTTTAAAGGAATTTCATAGTGTTTGGGAAGTACCAGTCCTTTGTTCCAAATGGTCAATTAAAAACTTTTTTATATAGGAAGCACCAATCTTGGAGGAAAGTTTATCCATAAATCTCGTGTTTTAAGGAAGGGCAAACTTTTTAAACAATACGAAACACATACTCTTCCCATCCTAAAATAGCATTATTTTTACCCCCTATTGTTTATTTCAAAATAAATTTATCTTTGAGTAGTCATTAGATTGGAATTATGAGAGTAGGAGACGAATGCATTGAAATTAGAAAAGGTGCGAGATAATTGTATTGGAATTTGATAAAAGAGAGGTTGTTTTGGTTTTTTTAAAGTAAGATGGGTGAAAATAAATTTATTTATTTTGAAATGGAGTTACTACAGTAAAAGTAGCATCACTTTAAATAAGCGATGGTGCATTGGTTATTTTTTTCATTCTTCATGACTTGAAAATATAAAACTATCATTACTTAGGCCAGTCACAATGGGGGTTTCACTGGTGTGTCATGCACATTTAATAGGGGTAAGACTGAATAAAAAATGATTATTTGCATGAAATGGGGATGAGAGAGAAGGAAAGAGTTTCATCCTGGTGAAACTCGTCAGCGTCGTTTCCAAGTCCTCGGTAACAGAGTGAAACCCCCGTTGAGGCCGATTCGTTTCATTCACCGGATCTCTTGCGTCCGCCTCCGCCGTGCGACCTCCGCATTCTCCCGCGCCGCGCCGGATTTTGGGTACAAATGATCCCAGCAACTTGTATCAATTAAATGCTTTGCTTAGTCTTGGAAACGTCAAAGTGAAACCCCTCCACTGTGGGGATTGTTTCATAAAAGATTTCATTTGAGAGAAGATGGTATAATATTTTGGGTAGCCGTGCAATGACACTAGCCATTGTGACTGGCCTTAGTGGCCTGCTACACGGAGGCAGTAGTCTTTCACGAGCTAACCTAGCGCAATAGTGGTAGCTTACATTCAACAAACAAAAAGAAAGAAAGAAACGGCAGCTGCTGCTTTTAGAAACATTTCAGAACTCTGAATGCGATTCTAGCTTCAAAAGCAGCAGCTTCCGGAGGAAAGCACATGTGCGTACACGCGCATGGGTACGCGCGCGGGGAAAAAAAAAAGGCGTGTGAGTACTTAATTAATCAGGTCGTGCCAGTAAACATGCTTCCAGAAAGATGGTCCAAAATGTTGTTCTAGAATCTAGACGAGCCACCAAACAATGAAGAGGAGATCGTTGGTTTCCAAATTGCGCCTTGATTGAGCTGTCAATGACCGTTGCTATCAGCGGCTGCTCGCGGTCAACAAAGAGGACAGCGTGGAGGCCCGAATAATACCACGGCTACCCAGCAACCTGACTGTACCAGGTGCTTTATAATTTGTACCGCTAGGTTGGGGCTAAACAATTGTACCACTGGCCTACTGCTATTACTACCGTGTATAGGCCGTGTTTAGTTTCAAAATAATTTTTCAAACTTCAAATTTTTCCATCACATCAAAACTTTCCTACACACAAACTTTAAACTTTTTTGTCACATTGTTCCAATTTCAACCAAACTTTCAATTTTGGTGTGAACTAAACACAACTATAATGTAGTAGTAGCCCAGCATTATTGTGTTCTAGTAGAAACATGTACACATGACAATATTTGATACTATGTTGGAGATAAAACTGGATATATCTTGAAACCATATATTATAAAGTGAATAATTTGATAGTAGAAACAAGCACACATGACTCTGATTTTCTATGAGCGTGTTGTAAGATCCAAAATGGTATGATTTCTTATAGAGATTTCGTCATAATCATTTCTTTAAAACTATTTAAATCAATTTTCTAATATTTAACCCTTTTTATTTATGCCCTTAAATAATTACCATAAACTCAGCTTCATTCATCAAAACTTTATGATGCATCCTTTCCCATCAAGTACGATAAGTATTCTACAGTAAATGGTATGGAAGGAAGAATATGGTAATATTTCTCTTCTTAATAAACTAGGCTCCAAAGAAGAGTTGATAGCCAAACCAACCAAAGACTATTGAATCCATAACACTATAATAATTCAGCAAGACATGTATATTTTTATATTTTGTAATATTAATCGAACCATATGTTAATTTTTTTAGATAACGAATTATATCTAATAACTAGGCTCCGAGTAATTATTTATAAGAACTAAGAAATATATATATATATATATATATATATATATATATATATATATATATATATATATATATATATATATATATATATATATATTAATAGAAAAATTGATGGGAAAAAACATCGAGGTGATTTGAAGCTAGGCCGAAAGGAGCACTTGCTAGCTCCTAAGTCCAAACCGTAGGGTTACAATACCGTTCCTAGTGTATAAAAAAATTTGTATATCTACGATACCATTAACAGTGTATAAAACAAAGTGTATAGCTAGAAATTGAATATAGCCATAAGTATGATAACTGACACATAATTGCGAATTGTTGTTTATCATTCTAAGACCTATAGGCTCAGAATATATAGCCATGAAACATAGCAACGCATGGGCTCATGATAGTTTCATCAATGCAGTACTGATAATTCTATTCTCCACAGGCCTGGTCACATGAACAAAGCAGCCGATCCTGGCGATTCCACCCTGGTGTGTGTCCCTAGCAAGCTAGGAAAGCTAACCAACACAGCTCATACCGCCCAAGCCCAAGCGCACGCGGGCCCCGCCATCCTCGATGCCCACGAGACTTTCCGCACCAATCCCGCCCGTCGAATTTTAACCCCGTCCAAAAATTTTCCACACGCCGCCGGAAACACGTAACCGCTCTCCATCTCCACCCCCCACACCCTCACTGCCTCCTGGGCCCCACCGCTCCGTACGCGCCAACACCCGGGCCCACCTATCGCAGTGACAGGTGGGCCCCAGCGTGCCCGTGGTCAGGCCAGCTTTGCACCCGACCCCCGAGCAGGAAGGGCCACCGACGCGTGGGCCTCCACCCCGCCCATCACACCGCAATCACACACGCCTGCCTCCTCCTTTCCCTCCCTCTCTCTCTCTCTTCCCCCCTCTTTCCTACCCGCACGCCAGGAGAAACCCACGCACGCACAACCCACCCACCCCCACCCACCCGGCAGCGCCGCGCCTGCCTCCTCCTCGCCGGCGACGAGCCGCCGCCGCCGCCGCTTCTCCTCGGTTGCTGCTCGCCGGAGGAGGGGGGAGATTCCGGTGTGGCGTGGGTGCACTCCCGTGTGGGAGACGCGGCCGAATTTCTCTGACCGGGTCTCCCTTCTGAGTTGCCGTGTGCTACCGAGAAGCTTTCAAAAGAGGCATTCGGTTTTGTGGCGCTGGTCTCTTCGCGGAGGCTAATTTAATCGGAGTCTCGCTTGGGGGAAGTGACCTGGTCGCCGCCTCCGCCGCCGCCGCCGCCGCCGCTCGTCGTTGCCGTCGAGGGGAGAGAGGGGAGCTGATGAGCTCCTCCGAATCCTAGGGTTTTTGACCGTGTCCTCGAGCTCTGCAAGGCTTTGGAGTAGTTGATGATGCCGACGGGGCTGTTTGGATGGGCGTCTCCGCATGTGCAGCCGCTTACCCCGGTGTCCGAGGTGTCGGAGCCGCCGGAGTCGCCTTCGCCGTACGGGGATGGGCCGGCGGGGGATGCTGGGGTGGGGGCGAGGGAAGGGGAAGGCCTCGGCCCCGGCGAGGAGGAGGTGGAGGACGACGAGGTCGAGCCCCCGCCCTCCGCGGTGTCGTTCTGGAGGCTGTTCGAGTTCGCTGACGGAATCGACTGGGCGCTCATGGTCGCTGGCGCTCTCGCCGCCGCGGCACACGGCGCTGCTCTTGTTATCTACCTCCACTACTTTGGCAGGTCCTTGAATTTGCTCGACTCTGAACGGGTTGAGTCTGCTCTCCACGGCCGCAGTGATGAACTCCTTCACCGGTTTAAGGAGGTAAGCTGCTGCTTCAGATGCCGTTGGGTTAATTGTGCACTGCTTGTTGCATTTTGGATTGAGATGATAGAATAGTACTTTACTTAGGTGGACCAGCTGTTCCCAAACTTTCCATTCTTGGATCACTGTGGAAATTACTGCTCTTAGGAATTTGTTTTGATTAGCTTCTGCCACATTGCATTGTCTACTTATGACTAGTGCCACATCTAAATGAGGTTGCTCTTGAAATATTGAGTTCAGGACTGGAGGTTTTACCAGCATTACATTTTTCCTAGCACGGCAGAAATCCTTTTTGGGGTGCCATATATACAACGTGGATTGCATATCACTTAGGAATGCATTTGAAAATTTTCTGATACAGATTTTTCCATGACTACTATACATTAAAAATAGGGTGGTTTGCATTAACTGATAAATTATTGCCTTTTGTTTGCCAGTGATTGCTACTGTAAGGCAGATTCGGTTTTGTGTATTATGGGTATTTTGTATGATATAAGTGTGACCAATGTACGGGTTATATGTTGCTTGTGTTTTATCAAATTTGAGAACATGGACTTCTGAGATTTGGAGTATTGCGTGGTGGTGCACCTTTCATATTGAGTTGTGGTTAACTTTGCTGGCATGCTGGGGAACACCTAATTGGATGCCTTGTTGTTGTAGTCAGGCCAGTGAGGAGGCTTGCTAGTTGACCACAGTGTAATGTGCTCTGTTGTTATTCGAGTTCAATGCAAAATACTCCTGTGTCTAATGAAGATACCTAGGGCTGCACAGATGATCATTTATCTATTTTCTAAACAACTGTTAGCTGCTAGGCGCAGTCGTCCACCTTCCAGCACTTGCGTGGGTTAGCGATCTTGATATGCAATGCAGCTGTGCTACATTGAGCACTTTAGTAGACATGCTGCACATTTGTGACTGTAGTTCTTTATGTGGAACATCCAAGGATCCCACCTATCCTCCATTTAAGTTTGCTAGTGATACAAATAATATCAATTTTCTAGAGCAATGAGCTAGAAAACCAATTCTCTTTAACTAGTACCATTTCTACTTTTCGGTACTATTTCCCCCTTTTGGTTTGTGTTGTCTGACCTTAATTTCATCGCTAGCCTGTCCTGACTTGCTTTTAATAGACGATATTGTTACTATTGTCATGACAAAGATGATGGCCGATGGTCATTGTATCTATGTTTTATGGTAGTGTTGACTATGAGCCTATGGCTGCCTCTTGAATTTTAATGTACCGGATATTCCAACGTTATCAGTTGTTCTCTTTCTGTTTTGCTGCAACATTTTTTTAAATACTATATTTAAGATACTGTCACTCCTTTGTCCAAAGGAGTGCGAGTAGTCAGTAGTGTATGACATGGCACCTCTCTTCAATCCCTTTATTGTACAATCTGCATGTTGTTCTCTTACAATTTACATTTCAATGTTGTCCACAGCATGCTCTGTATATTGTCTATATAGCTGGTGGTGTGTTTGCTGCAGGATGGATAGGTAAGCTAATTATTTTCATTTAAATTGCCTCTCACTGAGCAAGAATGCTTATTGCTGAGGTTTCAATTCTGTAGAGGTGTCCTGTTGGATTCTTACTGGGGAACGGCAGACTGCTGTCATAAGATCAAAATATGTTCAGGTCTTGCTAAATCAAGACATGAGTTTCTTTGATACGTATGGAAACAACGGTGATATAGTTAGTCAAGTGCTGAGCGATGTATTGCTTATTCAGTCAGCCATCAGTGAGAAAGTAAGTTCAGAGTAAATTGTGCTTTTCTTTTTACTGAATTATGTTCCCGGCGTTAACATTCACTATTTTAGTGTGTTCTAACAACTGACTGCTTTTATAGGTTGGGAACTACATACACAATATGGCTACATTTGTTGGTGGTCTTGTTGTTGGGCTGATCAATTGTTGGCAAATAACTCTTCTAACACTTGCCACTGGTCCCTTGATTGTTGCTGCTGGAGGAATATCTAACATATTTCTTCACAGGCTGGCCGAGAACATTCAAGATGCATATGCTGAAGCAGCTAGTATTGCTGAGCAGGTTTTTGTCTTATGCATTCTGCTGCCTATCCATTGTTTTGGATTAATTTATGAATATGCCAACATAAACTTCAGTCAGATACAATGTTCATGGCTGCCTTATTATGGGTAGTGCTCATGGCTGCCTTATTACAGGTCTCGAGAGCACTATAACTTTTCTTGAATACGCAAGAGAGTTGCGTATCATGTCATTAAGAGAGAGCAAAAAAACATGGGGAGGGGAGTAGAAAGCCCACCCTCACCCTAAACACATACATGTCTTATGTTACAAGAAAAACAACAAAAAGTGACCTCACCCAAGCGGAGCTAGCGAACTATTAAGGAACTCACTGAGCTTTGAAGCTCCAGCCATGCACCAAAGGGCACATTCATTAGCCACCGTTTGGATCACAATCATTACACTAGGATTCGTTACAATCATTACACTATAATGAAATGATACGTAGATCTCCTGCGTGTTAAAAAAAAAAGAACCACGCAGTTGTTTCTATGCTTCCAAATATCCCAAGCCACCAGAATAATAAGCCTTTTTATATTGACGCAAACTTTTAATGTACTTCTTTGTTCCATGACTTTTTGTATCTTGTCCAAATATATCCAAATATGATTGGTGACATATTTTGATTGATGCTGGAAACATGTTGAATACGCAGGCCATTGCATACATCAGGACGCTATATGCTTTTACAAATGAAACTCTGGCAAAGTACTCATATGCTACGTCTCTTCAAGCAACTCTGAGATATGGAATATTGATAAGCCTTGTGCAAGGGATTGGCCTTGGATTTACTTATGGGCTTGCCATTTGTTCTTGTGCTCTGCAACTTTGGGTTGGAAGGCACCTGATTGCTCGGGGAAAAGCTGATGGTGGTCAAGTTGTGGTAGCTTTGTTCTCCGTAATTCTAAGTGGCCTGTAAGCAACTTAATCAGATAATTTTCCCTCTATTTTCATCGACTAGTGGCTTATCTAATATTTTCCCAATTTATAGTGGTTTGAACCAAGCAGCTACGAACTTCTATTCATTTGAACAAGGACGTATTGCTGCTTATAGACTGTATGAGATGATAAGCCGTTCAACTTCCAGCACCAATCAAGAAGGCTCCACCTTGCCTCTAGTGCAAGGGAACATTGAATTCAGGAATGTGTATTTTAGTTATCTCTCCCGGCCTGAAATTCCAATTTTAAGTGGTTTCTTTCTCACTGTACCTGCCAGAAAAACTGTTGCACTTGTTGGTAGAAACGGCTCAGGGAAAAGTAGCATAATTCCTCTAATGGAGAGATTCTATGATCCAACCTTAGGTAATACCAATAAGATGCATATTTGATTTTTTTCCCATTCCATTTTATCCATTTGCTAAAGCTATTTTTTAATGATTTCAGGAGAAGTACTTTTGGATGGGGAAAATATAAAAAATTTGAAAGTAGAATGGTTGAGAAGCCAAATTGGTCTAGTGACCCAAGAACCCGCATTGTTGAGTTTGAGCATTCGGGAAAATATTGCTTACGGAAGATCTGCTACCTTTGATCAGATAGAAGAGGCAGCTAAGACAGCACATGCCCATGGGTTCATTAGTTCACTTGAAAAGGGATATGAAACCCAGGTAACAGCAGTACCATATCATGGTGTAGCTGTGTAGGTTACAGGGCGTTCTTTAAGAAACGTTCTAGGATTGTAGGCTGGTTAGCATGGCGAGTTTGTTTCATTTCTTAACCATTTATTCTTTTGTACCTTCCTAGGTGGGTCGAGCTGGTATGGCCCTGAGTGATGAACAAAAGATCAAAATTTCTATTGCCCGGGCCGTGCTTTCAAACCCTTCAATTCTTTTGCTTGATGAGGTCACAGGAGGGCTTGATTTTGAAGCTGAAAAAGCTGTGCAAGAAGCATTAGATGTTCTCATGTTGGGAAGGTCAACCATTATAATAGCTCGGCGTCTCAGCCTCATTAAAAATGCTGATTACATAGCTGTGATGGAGGAGGGACATCTTGTTGAAATGGGGACACATGATGAACTCCTGAACTTGGATGGCCTTTATGCTGAGCTTTTAAGGTGTGAGGAAGCAACAAAGCTTCCCAAGAGGTAAAGATAATTTTTCCTCTGGATAATACCGCGCTAGTTTATGTTCAGTACAAAGTTGGTTCTGGTCTAGGTTAGAAGTCCATATATTCTCCATATAGTTGTCCTCTTGGCTACAATTAAACATATCAATTGTCCGATATCCTACTATTGGAACATAACCAAAGGTCCTGAGTTAGCTTAGACGTGACAGAGAATACTAATTATTGAAGAGTGCCATCTTTCTTAAGCTGCATAAGGCTTAGGATTTTGTGTGCATTAGTTCATGCTTGAAACTCAATGTGCATACAACATGTTCTAACATTATATGATGTTATGAATGTTGAAAGCATCCTGCACAAATATGCTGCTCAGAACAAATATCAGTTAACCTTGTGCTGACTTTGCTCTAGGCATGTCTAATTTGCATGATTCAGTCAGAGCTGGCTTACTAATGCTTCTTGATCTTTGTCAGGATGCCAACCAAGAATGGCAAGGAGCGTAAGTCACTCCAAATTGAGGATCTGTCGGCCAGCCAAAGTTTTCAAGAATCATCCTCTCCCAAGATGGCCAAATCACCTTCTCTTCAAAGAACACATGGAATGCTTCAGTTTTGGCGATCAGACACAAACAAAAACTCTCATGATTCCCCGAAGGATCAGAGCCCACCTTCAGAACAAACTATAGACAACGGGATACCTTTGGTTGCAACCGAGAGAGTGCCATCCATCAAGAGACAGGATAGTTTTGAAATGAAATTGCCCGATCTTCCAAAAGTTGACATCCATCCCATTCAACGACAGTCTTCAAAAAATTCAGAACCTGACTCACCTATATCTCCTCTCTTAACTTCTGATCCAAAGAACGAGCGATCACATTCACAAACTTTTAGTAGGCCGCAGAGTGAACGGGATGATACAAGTTCTGAACAGAGTGAACCAGAAGAGTTGCAACACCATAAACCTCCATCCTTTTGGAGACTTGCAGCACTTAGTATTGCTGAATGGCCCTATGCACTTTTAGGCACAATCGGTGCGGCTATATTTGGTTCCTTCAATCCACTGCTTGCTTACACAATAGCACTAATAGTGTCAGCATATTACCGAATAGATGTTAGCGACATGCACCATGAAGTGAACAGGTGGTGCTTATTCATAGTAGGCATGGGTGTTATTACAGTGCTGGTCAACTGGTTGCAACATTTCTATTTTGGAATAATGGGAGAGAAGATGACCGAGCGCATAAGAAGAATGATGTTCTCTGGTAATTTCCATGTGCATATGTACATATACAAGCCTCTTACTTTTATTGCATCTGCTGCGACGTTGAGTTTTTTTTACCTCCACAACCCACACTGATTTTATATTTCTTCACAGCAATTCTGCGCAATGAAGTTGGATGGTTTGACAAAGAGGAGAACAGTGCTGATACACTATCCATGCGCTTGGCAAATGATGCTACATTTGTCCGTGCCGCATTCAGTAATCGCCTTTCCATATTCATACAAGACACCGCTGCAGTTTCAGTGGCTCTTCTTATTGGAATGCTGTTGGGATGGCGGGTTGCACTTGTTGCTCTTGCAACTTTACCTGTTCTTGTCATCTCTGCTATTGCTCAGGTAATATTGTCTTAAAGGTTTGCTAGTTGCCATCATAGCTGGACCAAAATTTGACATATTGACAAAGATTGTGATATGTGTTGGTGAGAGCATTACCATTCTTTGTTTGGTCTCATTCACGCAGGGATATGATAATATACCAAAACGTTCCTCATAGAAAATTAGGAATTAAAATAGTAGCATTATTCAAGTCAAAATTCGATTAGAAGTTATAGATTCCATGCTTCTTTGAAGGGTCATATACAAGTAAAGCCTAAGAGAGTAAACACACAATAGGACCCTTCAAAAAAAATAAACACACAATAAGCCTCCTAGGCTTCCTAAAATGCCACTTGAAGTCTTGCACAGACAGCTCTAGCACCTACCTCGTCACTTTGCACATATAATTTTGATACTGTCAATGATTGGGGCACATTAGAAACTGTAGAAATACTATTATTCATGCCAACAATGTCTGTTCTTGACAATAACCAACCTGACTTGTATCTTTCTATACTGAATAAATGTTTCTATGAGTATGATATGTTGGATTCATGTTCTGCCTCATGTGGCTTGTAGCCTGTTCACAGTTTTACACATTGTCCATATAATTCTTTTAATTGCCTGAACTGGTTGACGGCTTAATGTGTTAAACAAAACACTTGCCTCTTGATCTCCATGCAAAACTTCATGCAATTTGGGATTTAGCACTCCATACTGGATATTTATATTTTAACTTGAGCAATCAGGCATGCTCTAATATTTATTTGATAAACCATGCAGAAATTGTGGCTTGCTGGCTTCTCAAAAGGAATCCAGGAAATGCATAGAAAGGCCTCACTAGTTCTTGAAGACGCAGTCCGAAACATTTACACTGTTGTAGCCTTCTGTGCTGGGAACAAGATAATGGAACTATACAGGTTACATCTTTGTAAGATACTGAAGCAGAGTCTATTGCAAGGATTGGCCATAGGTTTTGGCTTTGGATTCTCGCAGTTTCTTCTTTTTGCCTGCAATGCCCTTCTTCTTTGGTACACTGCCATTTCAGTGGACAAGCAGCGACTCACAATTGCCACAGGGTTAAAAGAGTACATTCTCTTTTCATTTGCATCATTTGCATTGGTGGAGCCTTTTGGACTCGCTCCTTACATTCTTAAAAGGCGGAAGTCTCTCATTTCAGTGTTTCAAATCATTGACCGGGAACCAAAGATTGATCCTGATGATAACACCGGTTTAAAACCACCTAATGTTTACGGGAGCATTGAATTCAAGAATGTTGATTTCTCTTATCCAGCTCGTCCTGAAATTCTTGTGCTGAGCAATTTTAATCTTAAAGTGAGTGGTGGACAAACAGTTGCCGTGGTAGGGGTTTCAGGATCGGGGAAGAGCACTATAATTTCTTTAATTGAGAGATTCTATGACCCAGTGACTGGCCAAGTTCTGTTGGATGGCCGAGATATAAAATCATTCAACCTGAGATGGTTGCGAAGTCACATGGGCCTAATTCAGCAAGAGCCAGTTATTTTCTCGACAACGATAAGAGAGAACATTATTTATGCAAGGCACAATGCAACAGAGGCTGAGATGAAGGAAGCTGCGAGGATAGCAAATGCCCACCATTTCATTAGCAGCTTGCCACATGGCTACGACACTCATGTTGGAATGAGGGGGGTTGACCTTACAGCTGGGCAGAAGCAACGAATTGCAATTGCTAGGGTGGTTTTGAAGAATGCACCTATTTTGTTGTTAGATGAGGCCAGCTCCGCAATTGAGTCTGAATCAAGTAGGGTGGTGCAGGAAGCTCTTGACACATTGGTCATGGGGAACAAAACAACCATCCTCATTGCGCACAGGGCAGCGATGATGAAGCATGTGGATAACATTGTCGTCCTAAATGGTGGTAGGATAGTTGAGCAGGGTACACATGACTCTCTGATGGACCTGAATGGTCTCTATGTTAGATTGATGCAACCCCATTTTGGCAAGGGCCTTCGCCAGCATCGGCTAATGTAATTAGTGTTGAGTTTGTTAGGTGTAAATTATCCTAGCGCGTGATCAAGTTCCTTTTCGCTCTGTTCAGCCAGGGGTCATGGTTCTGTGGCTTACCGTTTTGTCGGAGGAAAAATGTTAGGTGTCGCTGGCGCTGCTCTGAATGAGCGGAATGGTGACCTGGTCTTGACAACAAAATTTTAGTCTGAAGATTCAGATGACTAGCTTTGTTGAAACTCTAGGAACTTATTCTGGAAATAGTTAGCGGGTTTGGAGGGGAACTTATTCTGGAAATAGTTAGCAAGTTTGGAGGGCATTGTAATTGTTGTAATATATGAGTTGCAAACATTCTTTCTGAGGCCTGTGTACTTGATTCCTTTCGCCTCTGTAATGTATTGGTTTGATCGTGCACACGTCTGTATAGAAACGCTGTTGATCTGTTAAGTCCTTGGCTCCGGAGACTATGGCCTAATGGTCTGCCTTTTTAACTGATGGCTACTCGTCGCTTGCAAGTTGCAACTGATGGTTGAACCGATTCAATCAACATAATTAGATGGCTATAATAGAAAAATAGCTCTAATAGCATACACACAATTAATTAATTGAAGTCTATAAGGTAATTATGCATCCTTTTTCCTGGAAGCTGAGCCAGGGTGTTCGATCCAGCACTTTTTCTAGTGGTAGATCAGCGTCTGTATGTATGTATGTATCTACATGACTACGAAGCAATAAAATAAAAGATATTTCTGCAATTGAACTGCCTCCCATCACGCGGTGAGGTCGGACAGCTTGAAGGAGTCGGCGACGACTTTGAGCCTGTTCCTCAGCCTACTCCATCGCCGCTCGTTCGCCGTCACGATCAGTGTGTAGTACCGACCTGCCATGCCATTGCCATTGCCATCAGGTTAACCAGCTTCTTCTTATGAGAGGAAAAAAAAATACATGCATGATGAAATATACAATTTAATAGATGATGATGATATATATCTCTGCGATCTTGTGGTGAGGAGGCATCATATCAATATCATACCGTTTCCAATGGCAACCGTCGCAAATGCGGACACGCCGTAGCCCGGGGCCTCAAGATCGTACTCAAATGTCCAGTAGTTCTTGCCATCCACGGTGCGCTGCGAATCACAACAACTCAGTTGCTTATTTTGCTTGCAGAGTTGTTGCAGTCTTTGTTATAGCCATTCCAATGAGATCAGACGTAAATTAATCAGCGAAAGAGCAATGCAGCGACAGTTTGGTATACTCAGATAGATCATATGGCTAAATAGTATTGATTGAAGGAGATGGATAAATGGCAAACCTCTTGCATGTCATAGACAGTTGGTATTTGATTTGGAGCAGCATAAACATTGTTCACCAAATTGAAGATCGCCTGATAGAGGAGTATGTAAATTGTCAGAATAAAAAAAATCTATGATGTATAACAAAAGAAAAGGCTAAAAAAATTGCCTGATTCCTTTACATTACCAAGAAAGATATTATCAGATATCGCATGAAATCCTACCTCATCCATTGGACCAAGGTCACGGATATCTGTTTTTGTAGTAGGAATGAAGCCCACACGCACGCACTGCAGCGCTACATTACGATCTTTGAACGCTGAATCATGCCCCAGGAAGTCGAAATCCTGAAGTGACACATCAAAACAAAGGGCATACATCAATACCATGTACCACCGAAAACACAGTCATTGGAACTGACATCTCTGTTCTTCAAGACGAAAATATTGCAACCTACCCTCCAATCAGCTGGATACAGGTATGAATATCCATCTTTTGAATCCACATAAGACTTGTAATTCTTTGGCACTTCTGGAATATAGGAACAATCCGAGTTAGTATCATCTCATGGTGCCATAAAGGCTTAATGGCTACTTGAGAAGTGGGAACTTGTATGTAACATGCAGACAACCTAGTACTGAAATAAAACCATGCGACAGTTCAGATGGCCATGCCTTCAGCATATGCAGAGCTGCTCTTTAGCAGACCAGTGGCTAATGCTCCAGCACCAAGCAGAGCTAATCTCCTCCTTGTCACATCTGTAAGATGGAGAGATAATCAGCCAAAAAAAATGTTAATCTTCAGAAACAAAATGCATCGAGAGAACTGACAGAGAGGAATTTACTCTTTTCATCCGAGGATGCTTCACTCGAGCTAGCGTTGACGACTGACAGAGGAGACGCATTCAGCTTGCTGGTAACAGCACAATTTGGAGCAACCAACTGAAAACAACACCGATATAAAGTGGTGAAATAAACAAGATTCAGAAAACGATGAGAAGAGGGCACAAGCACACACCTGCTTGGAAACGGAGCAGATCAAATTCTGCAGGCTTGCCATTTCACCTGCAGGAGTAGCTATGAACCTGAAGAAAATACGTGTTCTTGCCTTCCTCCAGTCAAGTTATCCTTTGCTGCTAGGACTGGCTCGTTCGCTTTTCAAGTGTAGTCTGTGTGTCTGTGTGAGTGGAGGGCAAGGAAGCCAGGTCAGCATTTCCATTATCCTCATTAGAACTTTTGGCCTTGTCTCGTACTGAGCACTGACTGACAAAATGGGACCAATCCGTTCCTGTTGTGATTGTGGTGGAGATATGTGAGAGCTTTATGTTTTTCCAATTCTCTTTTTACCTTTTTTTTTGTACATTGACTTTGGCTGAAAAACAATATATGTACACACACACACACACGATCCTACCATCAGATCATGCGATACATATTCGATAGCTTCGATGTAACAAGAAAGATGATTTTGACTGTGCTTCAAACTTGGTAGATAAATAGTACAACAGCTGCGAACTAACGCATTTAGCCATAGCAAATAAGCAAAGCTGCAATTAGCAACCATAGTGCCACTAGCATAACAAGACTGAATTTGCTCCAGACTGTTCACAGCGAAAGGGGATGCTTGAAACAAAATTTTCAGGTTAACATAAATAATATACAACAGCAGCTAAGATATTTTGAGGCTAGTAGTTCTTTGGGGCAGGTTTCACTAAACCCAGTCCAGAACCACTCCCCAAATGCTTGAAATCTCTCGCCTCTAGACGCTCATCATGGGCAGCGAATCCAGTTCCTCCTTTTTCCAAAGGAACGAAATTCCTCTCCTTGCACGGTTTGTTGCACACCAAGCAGACCTTATCAGTTACAAGGAACTTGTCAGAGCACTTCTTGCAGAAGACATGGCCACACGTGCTGATCGTCACCAGGGACATGGTGTTTGTTAGGGTAGACTTGCAACTGGGGCACATGTAGCTCTTCTCCACCGACTTCTTGTTTTTCTGGTCGGTGTTTTCTTCAGTGAAGGAGATAGGGAAGAGCGATTTCAACTTGAGCTTCTCCTGTCCCTCGGGGCAGATTGTGTCAGTGGAGGGAGCTTCTACTTTGGCAGTAGCTTCAGGTGTAGCTGATGGAAGCCAGAATGCCTTCATGTTGCGAAGGGCTTCCTCCTCAAAGGAAGTAACCTTCACGCTGTTTGCTCCATGAAAACCATTCTTGTCTTCAGAGCCGCTGCGATCGTGGTATTGGGGGACGGCTCCATGATTCTGCTGATCAAAAGCGTCCAACTCCTTGGACTTTTGCAGCATACGCTTCTCATCCTCCTCTTCCTTCTCCAGCTTTTTCTGGGCCTCATGAGCAGCAAGTTTGCTGGAAGAACAAGAATTAACACTCAGAATTCCATCCGATTCATTCAGTTATACAAGCAGAAGATTTAAGATTATGTACGGAGATTTCAGATGTCCATTAGGCCACAGGAATTCTAGGTAAGCAAAGTACAAAAGGGAGACCACTTTGCCTATCAACACTAAGAGGTTAACAAACATACTGTGAAAACAAGCCAAAGAATGACATAGGTTTAGGTGCCTAAGGTACCATAGTCATGGCTACTGAGCCTGTACTATACAGGGTCTATCACCACGACATATTGGTGAAGGATCCTTCACCAGTCATCGACCGTGATGACATATGCTAGGCATATTAATCCAATGACCATTGGCAATTCGCAATAGGAGATCATTTCATTCTAAATTCAGGTGTGACCTAAAGCTAACGAAACAAATCTAACTTTTCCCCCACTAGTAATTCAATCAGGAATATCAAGACAAAACTACATCGCAGTATTGCGATTAGTTCCATCACAACATCTGCTGTGGCATGCAACCAAAACTCACAAGAGATGCCCTCCGAACGCCCAAGACGCTTGGACTTCGACAACTCGCAGGCTCAGCTCACAGCAACCAAATAGTCCAAATCCATACTATACAAGGAACGCAAGAATTCTTCAAGCAACTAGCAACCACCAACTTCACAATTCCGACAGCTAAACTGCCCAAATCTAAGATTAAACCGTTCATGATATGACCAATTGATGGACGGGATCGAATCTGGGGGTACCGCTTGATGTCCTTCTTCTGGGCGAGGAGGCACTCGAGGATGCACTCCTTGCAGAAGGTGTGGCCCTTGGGGCAGCAGAGCGGGTGGATGAGCGGCTTGAGGCAGAGGCAGCAGGCGTCGAAGGGCTTGATGGAGTCCTTGCCGAGGCGCTCCCGCTGCGTGCCGTACCCGAGCTTCCGCTTCTCCTCGTACGTGAAGAAGGCGAGGTCGTTGTTGTTCTTCGAGTGCCGCTGCGGCATCTTCGCTCCCCACCTTCTCCCTCTGCGCCGCGGCCGACGAGGAAGGCCGGTGAGTCGGCGAGCTTGGCGACGGCGAGGTTGGTCGGAGTCGTAACCCTAGATTCGAAGGGGAAGTGGAGAAGATGATGGGGGCTGACGGTGGGGGTGTGGCTGGGGGGAAGAGGAGGAGGTGGGCTCGAATCGGTTTCCCTCTTCCGTGGGTGGGTTGGGCTGGGAGTCCGTTCACGGCTAGGCCTCGGCTTAGTTTCGGCCCGTTCCGTGCGGTTGGCGAGCCTGCGGTCCGGACAGCGGTGTGGGTCGGGCCGCTGCCGAGAAGCCTCTCTTCTCGCCGTCGTTGTCCTCCCGTCGCGGGTGAGTCGCAGTCGCACGCGTAACGAGAGGCAGAGCAGGAGTCGTCTGCGAAACGAGACGGTGGAAACGGGAAAAAAAATTCTCTGCGCAGTCTCAGCGTGCGTGCGGCCGTGCATCGCATGGCGTATGTATGGGGTACAAGTGAGGCGATCCGTATCACAACGTTCCCGTGGTTCTCGTCACGTATCGAGAGAGCATGTTAGGAACGCGAGAGCCAAATTACGTTGTTACATGTAGTTTGTTATCAAATATATTGGTTATGTGTATGGAATTTTGACAACATTATTAAACCAATCATAAAATTTTGATAATTTTATTAATTTATCAAAATTTTAATATTGATAAATTTTGGTAAGGTTCATCTTGGCATCAATTAGAACAGACGCTAAGCCAAACCGAGTTGCTTCTCTTCTCCATATGCAAATGCTAACATAAGTTTAGACTAAAGCAGATACTACTGCTTGTGTGTGCTATATAAGTTGCTGACCTGCAGGTTCGCCTGTTCAAGGACGCACCATTGCCTATCATCCCGCACGCCAGAGCTCGACGTGTTTGCAGCAAAATCCTGCGGCGATTCCGAGGGATCAACCAGGAACATGTCAGGGTCGAAAGAATCCTCCTCCTGGCTTGAGCAAGCAAACTCATGGCCGGAGGACGGCACAACAGCACTGGTTGAACAAGCAGCAGCAGCAGAAGCAGCGGTGTTCTTGTGGCCGCCGGATCCAGCAAACCGGTAGGTGCATCCCGCCTCCGTGTGCGGAGCGTCTCGTTGCCCTTGCGGCGTCCCGGCGAACGGTTTGGGACCCATCCGCAGAGCGCGGCTGCAGCTGCTGTGGACCGCGAAGGCTGCTGCGTCAGGCGACGCGGATTGGGAGACGAGGGCTCTCCTCGCGAGCATCGCGTGGGCGTTCCTTCTTGCCTGGAGCTCCGCCAGTAGGATCTTCCCCTGGCTCCTCGCCTCGTCCCTCTCCTGCATCGTCCTGCGCGCGGCGGATGATAGCTTGCAGATTGTTTCGTCGGCGTCTGCAGATAGGGCGATTGTTCTTTGCAGCTCCAGCCTGATCCAGTAAAGCTTTTCCTCCAAACATTTGCGTTCCTGCAAACATAGGAAGGGACTTGGTAAAAGCTTTACTTTTGATTCACAAACTAACCATATCTGGTTAGTTGTAAGCTAGTATTATGGATGCAAAATTAGTACGTAGAAATATACAGTCACCTACTGGTAATTTAAAGTGTATTGTCATTGGATTTCTAGTTTTGCTTCTTAAGCCCATCAATTGGTAAGCGCATGTGTGGTCCAATTATGACATTGTAGTATTGAGCATACATTTCATGACGGTGAGAGTATTCAGTTTCTGCTCAAGTGGCTATTGACACTATACTTGTAGAGGTTCATGCAACTTGGTACATTGTTCTTTATTTTTTTTGGACCTTTGGTACATAATACTTATCTTGTCTATGCCACCATTTGAAAGAGTACTAAGATTAGATTAATATGTTTAACATGTTCAAGAACGACCGTTTGTCACCAAAAGATATAATACTGCCAAAAGATTAATGCAACTTGTAACATGATACAGCTTTGGCTACTTGCAATAAATCGTTGTTACCTAAAAGACATATTGCGATTTCGTTTTTGCCTGTGAAACATGTAGAAGATTTTAAAGACTACAATGTGCAGATGAACACTCCTACACAGGGTACCCTTGAGTCTGTAAGTAGATCTCCATTCTGGAGCACTACCTTCAATGAACGAACAAATGGCGAATGGCAGGCATTCTCTCGATGAAAACGGACAGAAATTTCAGAAGCAAATGAAGACGCGGACATACCTCTAGGTCCGCGGGCGACGCAAAATTATCTTTGTCAGCGAGACTCTGCTCCATAAGGTTGTTCTGAGTATTGTTCTCTCCACCTTCTCAGTATACTCTTGCTGTTCTCCTCTTTGCCTTCTCCTGTTGCCTCTTAGTCGCTGATATGGACAGGTGACATGAAACTACTGATCAGAAGGTTGATCGATTCAGCATTACGGCAGGTATCAACAAATGAGAAGGTCGAGCAATTCGGCTTTATACATATCAACGAATGGAAAGGGCAAATTTGCAGAAGGAATGCATATATACTCCCTTTAAAGCTTACCATACTTGCAACCTTATTAGCAATCACCCAATCGGAGTTACCATGTAAGTCAGGATAGAGTCAAAGATTCCATACATATCTATACAAAAACCATTACTGATAAATTCGACTGCATAAAACCTTGGAAAGCAATACAGCACCAACAAGATAGGTTGGTTTTTACATCATATCATATCGATTGTTTGGCATCCACATTCCTAAGATCGGAAACAATTGCATACAGAATCTGATTGCTGATACACGCTAAATTAAGAGGGTGATAATGGGCAAGAGATCTTGCCATCTTTACAACAATTGAGTAATTTTACAATTTGTTTTTCCTTATCACTTGTTATAGTGATTGACTGGCATGAGAGGACTTCTAGGAGTACGTGTCCCTTGATCCACATATCGCTTTCCTTTGTCCACTTCATCCAAATTGTTCTCTGATCTGAATTTCACCACCAAATCTGGTACAGGGGTTCTCAATTGCTCGATTGATTCTAAACTGTACGCATTAGTCATTAGCTCCCCTGGACGACGCCGAACTGGACTATTCGCCTGTTAGGTGGCCAGCATTAGTGATGAATGGTCATTAGATATGATAATTAAGGATGATATGATATAGTCATTGCATTTAGGGATTTGCCTTAGTCCTCTAAAAGCATTGAAAAATTGTATATCCCAGATGAATACAATTTTGTTATGGTTGATACAGGCTTAAAATATGGTTTGTAGCCTTTCTGTTATCTTCTATAATCATACATGGTAAAAGAATGCCCTTTCAATTATAGTCCAAACTGCACTGAGAAGAGCAATAGCTTACCTTATAATCCCTTTCAAGACATTTGGCTGTCATGCTTCTTATAGATTCGGTGCCTTGACTGTGTTTTGTGTCTAACATTTCCAAATGGTCTGAGGAAGTGGCAAACACAGTTTCTATTCTCATTCTACTTTCACTATCGCGCAAGTGAGAATCTGGAAATGAGCATGCACTATGTCAAGAAAAAACCCATCCTTGTAAAATAATTATGTAATCCAGGTAGTCAGGTGGATGTATTACCCTTGACAGCAGTCAACATGTCAGATGTAATGGCGGCAAACTTTGCATCATTCTGTGTAGAAACAATCAGCATCTTCTGTAATATGCTTTCATTTTCTTTTCTTGTTTCTCTGCATGAAAGAAAATAGTAAGTGAAGCCAGAAAAGGCTTTTAACTGAAAGGCTATCAGATCACCCATGATGGTTACTTCTTTAAAGAGGTGACAACTTACTCAATAAAATCATCAGCTTCCACCACTGAGATCTTATTCAGATGTTCTAAAGATGTTTCGGTATGTGACCAGTAAGAAACAGAATGTACAGTTTTCTTCAAGCTGCAGTCAACAATGCCCGTTTAGCATAATAAAAGTGGCAGTAGAAGCATTTTACAAGGAAGTATTCCATCCATCCCAAAATAAGTTCAGTTTTCACCCATCCTACACATACCAATGCAAAACCAAAAATACTAAAATACCCCAACTTTATCAAATCTCCATGCAATCATTCCCCACTTTATGTTCCAATGCATTTATCATTTGCTTTCACAAATTCCGATATAAAATGAACTTATTTTGGGACAAATGAGAGAGGCCAAAAAATGAACTTATTCCAGAAAGGAGGTAGGCAAGTGAGACTGGTACCTTTGCTGCAAGATGTCTTCCATTTGATCTTTAATTTTACAATGTGATAACTTATCCTCACTGAACTGGCTCTCTACCTTTGCAGCATAGGCTGCGGCCTCCTTTCCTCCGCTGTCTGAAACCTTTTGTAGGTTGGAAATTTGCAATTTAAGATGTTTCTGCTCTTCTCTGCATTTCCCGTTCAGCTGTCCTACACAGTCCAATACCTGATAAAGGGAACCTTGTTATTCCAAAGATATAGAGTGAGACTTGGATAACGGATTTGCTCAGGCTATAGATAAGCTGACCATTGTAGATTTCTTGGCTGTCAAGCCCGCTAAAATTCCAGCAATCTTATCAAGAGCAGCCTGCTCTTCTCGAACAGAGAGTTCCTATCAGAATGAAGGATATCATCAGCGACACAATACATAAATGAACTTTATCATTGCATACACCAAATCAATCACCTTAAAATCCTCCTCGAATTTAAGGAGCTGGGACGAGCTTTCTGCTTGGCTTTGCTCCATATGTTCGATAAGCCTAGACGCATGACCCCTGATATCTTCGAAGAAATCAATCGATGTCTTGGACATGACTTGTGCTGATACAAGATCTCTTTTAAACATCTGCAAGGAAAGTTTTCAGGATGAGTTGCATCTTCTTGCAAGTATTTCAAGGACAATAGAGACTTACTACTTCTTGCTGATCAGCGGAAAAAGCTAATAGTTCCTTGAGTTCAGAAATAGACTTAAAAACGTCATTTGATACTTGCTCAGCCTCTGAAACCATCACTGCTAGAAACTGCAACAAAACAAAACGTAATTATATACTGCACAGTACTTTGATTACTTTTGTCAGATCATAATTAAAACTGGAAGTGCTATTATTCTTTACATTGGCAGCTCTTGTTGCATGAGACAATATGTTTAGACCCATCTGCTCAGAGTGTGCAATAGAACGCTGGTGTAGAGTATTAGCAAGCTGATTCATGCACTGAACTCCAGAGGCATATATATCTTTGGCTTTTGCTATTCTTCTCTCCAATTGGCTCGTTGACTGGAAGCAGTTGCGTAATGAGGGTATTTCAGTGTTCTAGGAGAGGGATGAACTGAATAATAAATAAATTGAGTATTTTAGTAGTCATACCTCAGATTTTGCTGAGAAGTATATTTTGTTTTGTTCATTCATAGATTCCAAAAACTGACGTTGTTCGCAAACACATCCAACAACTGTGTCGTGCAGAAGGTCAAGACCGTGATCCAATTGAGACCGGAAATCAAATAGCAGCCCTTTATTTTCAGCTTCAGTGTTGGATTGCCTTCCTATTAGTATTTTGTCAAAAGTACCGAGCACGGTCAGTACAAGTTTAAAAAAAAAACGGAGAGTAGGTGAGAGTGAGACTGTGTTTACCAAGTTTATCTACAAGAGCAGAGATATCCCCAGATGCATTCTCCAAGGCACCGCGTATATCCTTTGCACGTTCAACAATTGATTGCTCTATCCAGTCATATGGAGAAGATTCAAGAATCAAAACATTTTAACATAAATCTTTGCGTATTCAAGTATTAAGATCTTCAAGCAAAAAAAATACATGGTTACTTAAGATTTCAAACAATTACCAGCATGCAGTAAGTTTGATATTATGAACTCCTTTTCCTTGAGCGAAATGTTAGCCCTAGAATGAGCTTCTTCAAGATCAAGATATTCCTTCTTGCAACTTTCGATATTCATCTAGACATGCACATTGAGAAAAATGTGAAGATCTTAAAAGGCATACATCCACAAAAGGGACATTCTTTCCCAGAAAAAAAAAGGAAGTTCTTCAAATGCTTCAGTCCTCACCTTCAACTCTTTATTCTGAGTTTCCAAATATTCTATTTTATCCCTCATTGTCTGCAAGAAATAGTTAAAATAATTAAACAAACATGAAACATTTACACAGAGGTTCCATATAAAATCTGAAGTATTATACCTTTTTCTCTGCCTCCTCAAGAGCAAACCTTTCCTGAGGAATATAAATTCCATTCTTTTCCCTTGCAGCTTTTACATCTGATAATTTAGTGATATACACTTGAGATCCTGTAATAATGTGAGTAACAAAAGGAAAACAAGAAAATTGAAGATAACCTTGTTTCATTCTTTCCATTTCCTGGTAGAGATCCTTGAGTATTACAGATTTGCAAACTTTTTGGTTTGCCTGCAAGATAGTTGAGTCCATAAAATGGATAAAAATAGTACAATGCATGAAAAGAAGTTAAGTAGCACCTCTGGCTTGTTTTTTATGCTTTTAGCACGATAAGCATAATCAAGTGTAACTACTGTTTCTTCTAGGCAATGGATGGAGGGAGAAACCGTAGCTATTATGCACGTTTTGGCTTTTCCACCTAAAGATTCCCTTAGCAGTCTGGTGAGCTTACTGTCCCTGGTGAGTGTATGAAAGAAAATGCATTACTGCCAGCCTCAGTTAACAGAAATGATTATGAGCTTATAAGTCTAATACAAGCACAGCGGTATTACCTGTATGGCACATGAACCGAATGTTCCACAAGTGCAGTAATAACACGACCCAGGGTTAACAAGCTCTTATTCATCTCTCCTGCTTCTCTTGCTCTACCCTATCAGCATGCTAGAAATCATGATTTCAAAATGGACTAACATCCTACGTTAGTATGACAGTAAAATGGAATGTGAAACATAAAATATTCAGTTTCAACAACATAGGACACATCAAAGTTCTCAGTCAACACTAAAAGAGTGTTTTCATTTTTAATGTGAACATACTATTGAAAGCCAACAATGATAATTAGAGGGCCTATGACATTCCTGAATTGGATAGAGTTCTTCAATGCCATTATTCAAACAATGCACCGGGAATGATTAACTAAGCTAGTAAGTGATGACAGGACAATTTAATCAGAATCACAAATCAGTCAGCAACAGAACCGGATACCTCTCTTGCACCTGACCGAGCAATATTCTCTGATCCTGCCAAGTCTACAAGGTTCAATCTCCCGCACTTCAGGAGTTCCTGATTCCCTACTGTTGTTTCTTTGACATGGATGTATATAGAAAAGACAGAATGTGATCGGCTGCAGGTCCAGAGGTGCACATTGTCAGTATCCAATTGACAACCCTATTGGCACTGTAAGGAAAAAGGGAAGTGAACAAATCATGTACCTGCTTTGCTTATTTAGTGCAGTGTCAGCAGTACGCCTCCTAGCTGACCCATGTTCTAGAAGATTGTATATCTCACTAGCACTGTAGACAACGACCTCTTCAAGGCCTCTGATGACTGCCCCGCCTTTGCGATCTTCCATGAGAGATATTGCCCTCTTCTGTCTATCTTCAGGGAATCTGCTCTGGTCCTCTAAGGCCAACAGATCTGTGATTTCTTCATTGTAGAGCTCCAAGAAGGTTACCTTCATGCTATAGTCAGCCTTTCGTTCTTCCAAAATATCGAAGATATCGCGCACTGCTCTTGGGATGACACCAGCAGTAGCTGACAGTTCACTGGCCTAAAAGATTAGATGAGGCAAATAATTTAGTTGCTGCATGTAACTTCTCACTTCTCACAAAGTTTCAATTTGTACAGTACCTTCTGCCTCATCTCTCCCTCCATCGTATATGTTTTCCCAGTTCCAGTTTGCCCGAAGGCAAATACAGTACAATTGTAGCCCTCAAGCACATCTTTAACGATCGGCTTAACAGCACGATCATATATCGACCTTTGCTGAGCTTTTGGACCAAAAACCTGGGGATAAAACAACAACGTACATATAACAAAGTTCATGAGAAACAATATCAATCCTCCTGTATTCAGCAATATGAAATTATGTTAAGATTTTACGATGCATAAGATTCTGACCCTCTAGAAATCAACCATCAAACCACATGGCAACTGTTTGACACTACTGCAAGCATCGAAAAAAATAAACCCACATTACAAGCAGAGAAACTGAGTGGCCGGTAGTGGCGTTACCTTATCAAAGGTGAACGTCTTGTCTGCTTGCTTGAATAGGCTGTGCAACACAGTGACCTCCCTCTTCAAGTCATCGCAAGAGATGGCACTCTGCACATTCGCTCTCTGCTCCTCCTCGCTTAGTGGCCTGATTGCGCACCATTTCAGACAAACGCATCAGAGACACCATAGCCGAGCGCAAATGAACAGTTAACAACACATTCTCCCACCCCGAGTATTTAGCAGCAATCTGTTCAGTATTTTTCACAGCTGCCGAATAGGATGAACTCCCAAGTAGAAGCGGTTTGAACTCTCGGACTAGGATTCGCCATATCGCCTAACGGCTAAGCGGTGGAGCAAACTCCAGAGCACCTTACCTGCACCGGAGCACAACCTGCACGTTGGCCTCGCAGTCCTTCATCTCGCTCCCGCCGCCGCCGCCGCCGCCTCCTCCGGTTAACCCGACCCCGCTGCGGCGCGCGGAGCTCTGCGAGCCCCCGTCCGCCCAGCGCAGCTCCAGCTGGCGCCGCTCCGGCCGCGGCGTCAGGAACGGGTGCGGCGGCGGCCCCACCAACGACCTCCGGCTAGGGTTCGGCGTCTGCGCCATGCCGCAGGTCGTTGCCGCCGCCGGCGCAGGGAGATCGCGTGGCTTTTTTGCGGCGATGGGGGAGTGATTTGGTCGGCGATTTGGGGGAGGATTTGGGGAGATAGAGATGGAGTTGGCCGCCTTTTCCTCGTGCCGGAGAAATTTGAATTCGGGCGACTCGATGAGTGAGAGTGAGTGGGCCCCGGTTGTACACGCGCCGGCAGAGATTCGACACGTGGCGTCGTACGAGTGGAAGGCTTCGGGGCTTTCGGGATGGTGGGCCATGGCCCGATTCAAAGCTTAATTTAAGGCTTCCAGGGAGCGAGTTTAGTAGTCGTCGTCTTGGGCCTTCTCATGGGCCTTGCCAGTTGGATGAGGCCCGGTATGGATAAATAAACAAATAACCAAGGTTTGAAGGATTAATCTTAACCGGAAGTGGAGGATTCTCTCAAAAAACATTTGAAAATGGAGAAAGTGTGGATTTTTTTTTCTGTCATTATTTCCATGATTGAAGTATCAATGAAAAAAAAATGCTACATATCAGTACGGTACAATATTAAAATTTAGAAATGCACAAACAGTAGAGCCAATTGTTGCCTTATGGAGGCTTTCGTGACATCATCGGAAAATAACGGGGACAATAATCCCAGTCTTTCCCAGACTATACACTGCTACAAATTGGTAATTCATATTTTTGACGCGTGTACAGTAGCATTTAATACTAGTACTGAACAAACATCATTTCTTTATGACGATGAGCATTTAATTAGGGCCCTTTTTTCAAAGCACTAAATTGTTGTCACTGATTACTTTGCTTAATGCTTCTTAAAATTCATTTTCTTATATTTTTTTCTTCTAGTGTATAAATCATACTACCACTTGTCCTAACCTACTATGTAGTACTACATCCGTTTGCCTGTCATTTTAAACATCTACATATAGTATGTAATGCATATGTTTTATCACTGTCTTTTCTAACTATATGTTTATTATCGTAGACTAGCAAAATGCTTAAGCTTTGCTATGGACAGAGGAAAAAAAATCATGATATATCATAGCAAAATATATTCTAGTCTCACTTGTTTGCTCACTTGATTATTGGTTATTCACTTGTTTGACCGAAATATTGGACTACATTAGAAAATATGAGGGGATAATTTGTAAAATACTGCAAAAGCAAGATGGCAGATTCACTGGCACCACCAGTAGAGATTTTTAAAGGAGTACAGCTATTGAAATTATAACTATACCGTGCTTTTTATTATGATTATATCAATACTATTCCCTCATGTCAAATCCTAATTATGGTATTAATCAATAATTTAACATTTCTAGATTTAAGTGCACATATTTTAGGACAACATGTATTTAAGAACAGAGGTAATAAGTATTTGTTACGTCAGTTTCTCAAAACATTAAATCCCCAAAAAAAAAGGAGTTTTGAAGGGAGAGACGTCCCTCCAAATATTTTTTTTAAAAAAAAATTATAAGGGCAGCCACAATGTGGCCATAAGAAGAGGCCATAAGATTTTATAGTGACCATATATATTGTGAAACAAAGCCATAAGACATTAAATGCAAAAGAAAGCTTTAAGCTTATGGCTTGACCACAAGCAATAAAATAATAGGATAAAATGAATGTGAGGATGAAAATTGGCATGGCTGATAAAAAAAAAGTACATTGTGGGATCCATTTTAAAGTTTACTCTTGCTTCAAACATTGTGGTAATAACCATAAGAATAGTGGAACCCACCTTAATGCTACTCATGGTCATAAACATTGGAGATGCCCTAAGCGTGTTGAAACCAAACATGCCTTACTATTGCACTATCAAGTGCATCTCTCGAAACATTAAATCTGATCCTATAGCAAGTATATAGTCCATGATAATAATTAAGGAATAGCCTATTTCAAACGCTATCATCTCTTTGTAACATGTCCTGGGCGCTAAGATTTCTCATTACGTGCAGAGATGACACACGCTTTTCTTTTTATGTACTGTCCATTGATAACATAAAATTGAAGAGGACCACCCCCCAGGCCCAACCCCTTCGCCGTCGGTTAATTGCACGGGACTGTGTTGAATAAAACTGTGTACGCTACTATAATCTGTTTCTACAAATATAATTTACACGAACATGTTGACGATCTCCACATTTATAATCGGATCTGTCACAATCAAATGGCGCAAATTAATATTTTAATCAACGTGGCCATTTTGTAGGCACTCAGAACAAATCTGATGACTCATTTTTACATGACTCATCAGATTTTCAGCCTACAAAAAGTTAATCAACTGTCTGCTTCAAAGTATTTTCAGCCTTCTGATGTCCGCAAAAGAAAAACATAGCCCCGGGAGATACATCAGCCAGCAGCCCAGCAGTCGCACACATCGTTTTCACTTTTCAGAAAAGAAAAAAAACACACATCTTTGGAAGAGAATAAAGACCAAACGAGCAGTGCTACACGTACTAAATTTTACTAACAATCATCTCAACCGTTTAATTTTGGTAGATAGAGGTTATCAAAGATATAAATGCATTCATAACATGACACACCAAATCACCAATGTTATTTAGAATTTAATAAGAAAAATTTGGTACGTATAGCAATGCTCAAACCAAACCCTGGAAAGACAGTAGAAACTAGTGAGAGATGCCATCTCTCGGCATGATGCGTTCTTGCAGCATTTGTTAACTTCAGTCGTTGTCAATGAAAGCGGTCAATAAATTATAGGTTAAGATAAAAAAAGAAGAAGAAGAAACTACTCATGGTAAAGCATCAAAGTCAGCTCCAAGCCTGGAATCCATTTTGACTTTTAACGTACGTTTAAAAACTCTGTTGACTTTTGCATTCCAAACGTATTGCCTCTGAATAATGCTGCTCATATTGTAAGTTCCAGGTAGTACAAGGAAGCTACACTTTGCAAAGTTGCCTCCGAATATATTCTTTAACTATACTTTGCAAAGTTACCAGTTTGTTTATGTATGTTGCCAGTTTTCAGGGCTTCAGGCCACTGCCCAAGTCAGCTGCTGAGAAGATGGGGCCATGGAATATACTAGTTGACTTAGCAAGCAGGAGTTGTTTACAAGGTCTATTGTTTGACTTCACAGCAGCTGGGTGCTGGTTCCAGCGTTCTAGAAGGTCAGCGAACATAATATGTTCTTAATTGGCTAATCTGCAAAATAAAATATTTAGGTTTGTACAGATGCATCCTCTCATTCTGAACTGGTATAGTTAAAGAATTCTGCTCTCAAAAGTCAGAATGCAGGAATATTCTGCAAATTGAGTCAGATTTAACAATCTAACCTGAATATAGTTGCAGGTCAGCTGGCTCCTGCTCATCTGGATACACTTAATGGCTGTATATAGATTAGATTACAGAGTGCAATAGATCCGGATTGTAGAAATTATGTCTGAATGTTGAAGAAGAGTTCCGAAAGACAGAATTGCTAGGCACGTTATTGCATCTTTAACAGGTCAGGACAACAGACTTAAACTCCTGAAATAAAAGCAGAACAGCCATTGAGCCATGCTTAGAAAATCCTACAAGATTCTCTTGATCATTTGTGGAATTAATCACACACACATCACTGTTAGCGTGACTCTTCTTCCTCATCCCTGCTTTGCATTAAACTTCGGGAAAAAAATTATATATAGCTCAACAGTTTTCAGCTAGATGAGCTAACACAACTTCTGACTTTATAATTTCCAAATAATTCTGCATCCGTCAAATGCCGTTCTAATCCCTTCATCGCAGAGCGAGCAAGACCAACGCAAACAAATCAAATCAAAGGCAATTTCTTAATCTCGCCACTGAAGTCATGGTGGTTTTATGCAAATTGCCAGACTAATTAATATCCAACTTAAGCTCACTCTTAAACCCATATTTATATATTTTTTAAGCACGCATTGATTTCTTAGCTAAGTAAGCAACTAGCCAATAGTCATGGCGTGTTGGTACAGACGAACGACGAGTTGCCAGACTTTAGAAGCGTTGTCGCCGTCGTTGCCCTGAAGAATCTACGACGAGCTGCATCCCCCCCCCCCCCGGGTTGATTCGGCCGCGGAAACCAGAAGCAGACGTGTTGATTTCTGATAATTTAGTCGTTCTGAAAAGCGCAACATGTGATAATCTAATCCCACTTGCGATCAGTAGATTAGACGAGAGAACCTTCCTCAGTTCCTCTGATGACTGAAACTGACATGGATAGTGTCCAAATGTCCAAATCAGATCAAAGTCTCAAAGGAGAGAGTTGTTTGCGTATATTATTATTTTTAAGATAATGGAAGAGTAGAGTTCATGAGATTTATATAGAGGGAGAGCTAGTAAGGGCGTGTGTGTGATCACAGCATGACAAGCCCAGCACTCCGGCCGGAGCTGGGTTCAGTGTATTTTGCTGAGCAGTTCCAAGCAACAAATTCAGAAATGGCCCCTAAATTTTGTTTCATTTTTTTTTAGGTAAATCACCGGGGGGGATAAGCTCCCCACCTGAATTAGAATAAGACCAAATTCAAATAAACACTGTACAAGGGCCAGAGGCCGAACAAACAGAAACGCAAAGAAGGAAAAAATAAAAGAGATTTACAACAGACTTAATGGAGAGGAAAAGATGGATAGCCATGCAGGGAGGATCGATCTATCAGCTTGCTTGAAGCGGTGAGCCCAAAGCTTGGCATCCTGAGAGCAGCATTTTAGAAGGCGACTGATGGATGGAGGCTGATTTTTAAACACCACTTCATTTCTGTGATTCCACAGACGCCTGCAGCATAGCAGGAACAAAGTATTGTTCATGTGTATCGGGGCACCAACCAGAGAATTTGACTGGAGCATGGACAAAGTTGAGATCGAGGGAGTGATCTTGATTAAAGTCCAGAAAGCTGACGCTAGAGGACAATGAAGGAAGATATGATCAGCGTCTTCTGGGGCAGAACTGCATATCTCACAGGTTGGTGTGGGGAGGATTTTCTTCTTGTGTAGATTTACTCTTGAGGGCAGTCGGTTGAAAGCTAGGAGCCAGCCAAAGAATTTGATTCTGGGGGGAGCTTTGCTTTCCCAAATGTATTCCCACTGTGTCCAAGTCTGAAAGTTTGACATTTGTAGGTGGTATAGGGCTGAGGACGAAATGATGCCATTTTTGCACTTGATTTTACTGACTATCTCATC